CTCTTTAAAAAAAAAAAAAATGAAAAGCTAATTTCTAAAAATATTATATTTGCAGTAAAAATGTGTGTAAAATATTTCAGACTGGTTGTTTAAAATAGTAAATAATGTATAAAATAGTATCGTTCATCTCATATCTTATCTCTAAAAGATAGCCATTGTTAGGTATTCTTCCATTTGATTATACGTTTTCTGTACAGATATGAAAATGTACTTTTTTAAACAAATAGGATTATACAATACGTACCATTCTTTAACTTGTTTTTACTCAGTATTTTTTAGACATCTAGAGAAATTCATTTCTCATAAATAATGTTGTTGAAGGATTAAAAACAAAAGCACAGAAGATAATTTTTTAGTGGCTTGGCAACCAGAGCTGATGAAAGTTACAGATTGGGAGCAGAGCTATTTCTAGTATTGTTTGGAGGCTGGAACAGATCATAACTCTGCTGCCTTTCACCCCACCAAAAGGTAACGCACCGCAACAATCCAGACAAAATTAGTCTAAGGTGAGGATTGTAGATAGTCTTGAGTGGGGAATTGTTACAAAAGGAATTTCTGAGATATGTTCAGAAAGAAGGGATATTCCCTTCCAGAGAATCATGGTGATTGTAGGCATGGGATGTTTCAACGTTTCTGTTGTTTTGTGTATTACATTTTTTAAATGTTTGTTTTGTGTTTTTTTCAGCACTAGCAGAGTCTCTCTGGCTTCCTCCCCTCATTGTCACCCATTTGCTAGAAGCTTGGATGAGGTGGGGTACGGGTAGAGAGAGAAAACTGTGAGCCTCTGGGTGTTCACTTTAGCATAGACAGTTTAAGGAAAGGCTGTGATAGTCCACTCCTGTCTTTTTACTAGGTGTTCTTCTTCCCAGGATCTTAGGCATCTGCTTTTGCTCTAGTCCTTAGGATCCTGCAGTTCTCTTCACCTGAGCTAATCCAGTAGGTTTCATGTATTTGCCAATAGTGATTGGGCTTTCGACAGTCTTGCTTATCCAGAGTTGATCAAAATCTTTAGAGGCCCTGTTCACTCAGGAGGTTATGTTGATCTGTCAGGTAATTCAAAATAATAGTAATAACACAAAACCTAACGTAACTGTAAATATTCTCAAGGTAGTCCATTTTTTCCATCATAAAGAGTATGATTTTTTAAAAGAGAAAGAAATGTAAAAGTAAATCTGACATTAGGGTACTTTGTTGATGTTGAGTCTGATGAAGGAATAATCCTGGACTGGTCATTGGAGGACCATTTAAGATTCTGTTTTAATTTTATGATTATTTTTATGCCTTTGGTTTTTATAAAACATTAAACTGAAATTTTACTTTGCCTTCTATTAGGTAGATTTATTGTTGAGATCATAGCTACATATTCAGTAGTCAAACAACACTACTTTTTTTATAATGTCAGATAATCTCCTGTTCATAGTGTTAAATATAGTCAATAAATTATTTCCTCTAATTGTATTATAAGAACTTTTTAAATGGGCTCGAGGTACAAGGTGGATTGTTGACTTTTGTACTGAAGAGTCTGTGGTTGTTGCAGAGCCTTTCCTTGTCTCAGGGTAAATTGAGAAAAGAGCTCCCTTGATGAAAATATACACCCCCATATTATACTCCCTTATATTTTTACTTTATTAGGTTCACTTAGGAAAACTGTATCTTTCAATATGCAAATATCTTCTGAGCAAGTTGGGGTTTTTAAATTTTAATGTATTTATTATAAATTGAAGCCATGTGTTTGAGAGTGATGGTCTGAAATACTGTTTGCCTGAATGCTGGAAGAGAAAAGCCTCTAAAAGGCAAACACTGTCTATTTTTCTGTAATCACTAGCTTCTATCTCTTATGCCATTGAGAAGCATGCATGGTAGCTTAACACACACTATAAAATATATCAGATGTCTCTTCTTTGAAATAATTTCAAATTGCCTGAGTCCATTCTATGTGCCAATTCTTAAGAATTTGGCAGGGTAAAGCTGGTTTTTAAAAAAATCTTTCTATTCCCTCTTTCGTTTTTTAAAATTAAACTTTTTATTTTGAGATTGTAAGAATCGCAGTTGTAAGAACCAACACGTAGAGAGCTTATGTACTCTTTATCCAGTTTGCCCAATAGGAACATCTCAGAAATCCACAGTATAATATATCAACCAGGATATTGACATGGATGCAATCCACCAACCTTATCCAGGTTTTGCTAGTATTTCATGTACACTTGTACTCTTCTCTATATGTATTTAGTTCTATACAATTGTATCACTTACATGTATATCCACCACTGTAGTCAAAGAAGAAATCCATTACCACAGAGATCGCTCAGTTGCTTTTTAATAACCATACCCTCCTTCCTTTTTAAGGAGTTTTTGTTTTGTTTTAAAATTCTTAGTCATTTGTGGTCTTGACCTAATTATTTTTCAAATTTATATCCATGCTTTTAAATTTTTTACCTTTTTAAAAAAATTGGTAAAAACATATCTGATGAAACACACTCACTGTTGGCTGGTCGTGGTGGCTCACACCTGTAATCCTGGCACTTTGGGAGGCTGAGGCGCGCGAATCACCTGAGGTCAGGAGTTCGAGACCAGCCTGGCTAACATGGTGAAACCCTCTCTCTACTAAAAATACAAAAATTAGCCAGGCATGGTGACGGGCACCTGTAATCCCAGCTACTTGGGAGGCTGAGGCAGGAGAATCGCTTGAACCCAGGAAGTGGAGGTTGCAGTGAGCTGAGATCACTCTATTGCAGGCCCCCTCCACCCCAAAAAAAGGCACTCACTGTTTTCTCCACCCTCACACAGATCACTTCTGTGACAAGTGATGTGTGGTTTTTTTTTTCCCACACCAAGCAATTTAGGATACCAACTGGGTGTCCTACAGTTCAATTTAGTTCTGACATCTACCTGGTGGTGTTAGCATCCAGTCCCACAAGTTAAAGGCACAGTCCCAGAAACGACTCCCATTTAGACACCAGTAGAAAGCCACTTCACTGGTTATGGTTACTGGTTGATTTTAAAGGTTACAACTTGAGGCCAGGTGTGGTGGTTCTCGCCTGTAATCCCAGCACTTTGCGAGGCTGAGGCAGGAGAATTACTTGAGGCCAGGAGTTCTAGATCAGTCTGGGCAACACGGGCACATCCTGTCTGTACAAAAAATATTTTTATGGCCCACATGTGTAGTTGTAGCTACTGGGAAGACTGAGGCAGGAGGATCACTTGATCCCAGGAGATGGAAGCTGCAGTGAGCTATGGTCACGCCACCGCACTCCAGCCTGGGTGATGGAGCAAGACTCTGCCTCAAAAAAAAAAAAAAAAAAAATCATATGGTATTCATTTGTGATGGTTTATTTCACTTAGCATAATGTCCTCAAGGTTCATTCATGTTGTAGCATGTGACAGGATTTCCTTCCTTCCCTTTTAAAACTCAGTAATTTTTCCATTGTATGTGTACTGTGTTTTGTTTATCCATTCAGGGACTCTTGAGTTGCTGTCACCTCTTGGCTATTGTGAATAATACTGATAAACATGGGTGTGCCAATATCTCTTTGAGATTCTGCTTTTAGTTCTTTTGGGTATATACCCAGAAAGTGGAATTGTTGGATCATATGGTAGTTTTGTTTTTAACTTCTTGAGGAGCCTCCATACTATTTTCCACAGCAGCTGTATCATTTTACATTCCTACCAACAGTGTATATCCATATTTAACGATATTTAGATACATAGGTTTTGATTCATCCATTTTAATTCTATTAATGACTATTTTATTGACTTTTCTTTTACAATTGATAGTGACTACCTAGCCCAAATCACAGATGAGATACTTTGTATTATGGAATGTTTGCATATCAAGGATGACCCTCAAGGTAACATCTAAATATTTTAGAGTCAACTCTTTCAGGTATCAGTGAGAGAATCCTTACCTGAATAGTTTAAGTAAAAAGAGGGATTTTATTACAAGGGAACTGGGATGTGACATTGAATCTAAGGATGGTAATGTGTCAGGGCCTTAGAAATAACTCATTACGGGACTTGATTCTCTCTTGTCTTTGATGAATCTTTTTCTTTTTGTACTGTGGCTTTCATCCTGCGATGATGAAGTAACGTCACAAATTGTGAGCCTTTCAGCTTTAGCTACCCAAAGAGCAAGGACGCTCAGTTGACCCCAATCCAGAAGTCCCAGGGGAAGGGGACGATTGGCCCAGCTTGGATCACTTGCCTTTCTTTCATACCTCACTACAGTATGGTCAGGGAGAAGGAGTCAGTGCAGGGACATCTGTGGAAACTATATGGAGTGACTGGGAGGCAGTCAGGTGGCCAGAAGGAAAGGGAATGAGTGTGGGAGAGCGAATGAAAAGTGCGCTTGTCCACTGTCTCTAAGCCGAGATGTCAGTGAACAGTCGATTGAGGTCACACTGGGGAGATAATATTGGAGCTTGAAAAGTTCTTGGTAAGGAACACTAAGATGACTAGAGGCAAATGATTTTTTTTTTAAATCTGACTGATTTTTTAGTATACCAAGGTCAGGGCCACAAGGAGAAAATGCCTGAAATTCTTAAAAATAAAAGGTAAAAATAATTGACTGATTTCTGGAATGATTTGAATTAGAATTAGAAGGTAGTTAAAAACATTCTTAACACTGTTACTTAGGGTAGAAAATGAAAGGTTCTATTTCAAATAGGAATTAACTTTTATAATTTATCCTAAGAAGTTTACACATATATCAGAGGTTTAATATGAAATTGATGGATGATAGCTATATAATAGGGACATTTAGAAAAAATTAGAATATAGTATTAACCTTTTGAAGCCATAGGAGGAATATTTCCCCATCAGGTGTCAGCAGTGATGGTAAACCTTATAATGTATTCCGTGCTGCTTGTGTCAGGCATGGTGTGAGGCATTTTTCTATGTATTATGTCATGTAACCTCCCAAACCATAGGTGCTCACTATTTGTTAAACTGAATTTTCTAAGTTGTGTTTCAACAGATGATTAACACTTTGCTTTTCCTTTCAGAGATGTGGTACTGGATCTTCCTCTGGGCTCTCTTCTCTTCTCTGTTTGTCCATGGTGCTGCAGGAGTGTTGATGTTTGTGATGCTGCAGAGGCATAGGCAGGGAAGAGTCATCTCTGTCATTGCAGTCAGCATTGGATTTCTGGCTTCTGTAACTGGAGCGATGATTACCAGTAAGTTGATTTTGTTTTGTCTGAGGATGTAAGTTTGTATGCACTTACCATTTTGGTAGCTGTATTCTTATTATACATGTAACATTAGTGAGATATTTTATGTAGATTATTTGTCAACACTTAACACACTCCACCTAGAAGATAAAGATGAGCTGATTTATTCACTGAACAGATAGTTGTAATTCTGCAATGTGAAGAGTCCTTTTACAAGGTTTTGTGGGAAATAGAAAAATTCATAACAGTTGGCAAGAGGCAAGGCAGTTCAGTGGGAAAATTCACAGTCATTATAGTTTCTGCTTTAAAGTTGCTCACTTTCTAGGAAAAAGGAAAGGCATGAAAATATGTCAGTGATAATTATCGTAAGCAGAAGTATAGCCCTGAGGTCCTTACTGTCATCTGCCTGTGACTACACAACAAAATTGCACTTTCTTCTTATGCACACATTATTATGGCCTACTAGAAATAAGCTGTGCTAGAGTGTCCTCTAGTGCTTTGCAGGTTCCCTGCTGTGCTGCCTCATGAGCTTTTTCAGACAAGTTTTCAGGTTCATCCCCTCTGGCCTTCTCTGCTTAACACTGTACTTAGGCCCAAACTCCAGCCTGACTTCAAAGAATTAGTTATGGTTTTGTTATCAGCAGAAGGTATCCAAGTTACCAGTAGCAAATCCAGACAGGTCTGCAGCAGCCTCAGTTCTTGCCTCCTCAGAAGAAATAATTTGACTGAGGGGTGTAAGACAGAAAAAGAGACCGAGGCAAGTTTCAGAGCAGGAGTGGAATTTCAAAGCTTTAGAGCAGGAAAGAAAGGAAAGTACACTTGGAAGAGACCCAGGCGGGCACTTTGGAGGTCAAGTGTCCCATTTAACCTTGGTCCTATGACTTGCTGGCCCATTTCCAGTGTCTTGCACCCCTTTTCCTTCGTTCTTCCTTTAGGGTGAGCCACCCGCATGTGCGGTGCCCTCCTTACACTTGGGAGGCGAGCATGCGCAGTGTGTTTAAGAAGTTGTATTCATGCTCATCTGAGGCTTTCTTCCCTTTTCCAGTGGAATGCCCCCGAAGCTCATACTCTACCATTTTGTCTTAATGCACATGCTTGAGCCCATTTACCCATTTCCTGAGGTTTCATTGGAAGCTACTGGTTACCAGTTTCAAGTGTTTTTATCCTTTGGAAAATTGCCTTTCCCTGGTGCCTGTGACCAATTATTTTAGTGTGACAACTGCTGGACCATCACCTGATGGTCACCTGACATTCCTCTCCTGCTCCACTGCTGACAACTTACCTAGTGTAACAATTTCTACAGCTGCTGGTTGAGCAGAGCTTAGGTGTACACCCTGTTGAGACTGGAGTGTGCCACATCTGCTTGCTTAGTGTGGTTGTGCCAGAAACCGGGTGCCACTCTGTGCTGCTATCGGTTCTGTGACTGCCAGTGCAGAGTACAAGTGTCTGTTGCCCTTCACATCTGGCCTATTCCCATATGTTAGGGTCAGCTCACTGCTACCACTGAATCTGTTTTGGGACTCTCTGACAGTTTCTTCTTCCTTTCTAGTTGATTCTTGCCTCAGAGATAAGAAGGCAACCTTATCTTTATGATGCAAGGGATTCCCTTCTTTATCCTTTCCAGAGTGATTGACATCCTTTGTCTTGAGAGGAGAGCCCTGCTCCCATGCCCCTGGGTATGTCCTAGGCACTAATAAGGCAACCATAAAATACTTGTGGGAAATGGGGAGGAGTCTGTTTTCTTATTCTTCAGTTGCTGTTTTTTTCTGTGTTATCTTGTATTAAGTTTTTATAATTGCTTTTGTTGTTTCTGCATTCAACCTATAATTTGATGATATGAATGGTACCTCATATGCTTTGTCATAGACAGGGTTTTAAACAGGTACTCAGGTTTAGCTAAAGCACATAGGAAAGGTAGAACAGAGCCAGATTCCAGAGGGCCTTGGAAAGCTGTCTGGGAGGTTTGGGCTTTTATCCTGCAGGTCATGGAAAACAAATGGATATTTTTGAATGCAGTTGGCAAGGGACAAAGCAGTTCAGTGGTAAATTTTGTTTTATAGTTGAATACAGAATTAATGTATAGAAGCAAGAGAAAACCCTGAAAGAGCAGGGACCTGGTCTGTCTTCATCACTGCTCGATCCCGAAAAATAAAACGGTACCTAGAGCATAATTTATACTCAAAACATATAGGTTGGATGGATAGGAGGAGTGAGAGAGGAAGAGAGGGAGGAAAGGAAATAAAGAAGAGGGGATAGGGAGAGAGAATAAAGAGGAAGGAAGAGGAATTAAGAGGCATTAACTGTAATCTATACTTGAGGCCAGGTTCTGAACTACAATAATGGCCATAGGTTGGGAAGGAAGGAGTTAATGTAAGAACTATACAAAGGACAAAAAATCTGAATTAGTTATTAATTGTGGTGGCATACAAAGAGATATGAAAGGGGCTGCCAGTAGTTTTTGACATGGCCACTGTTGTAATTGTGGAACCATTAACAGAGGAGAAGGAAGAAGGAGCAGCTTGTTTGGAAGTTTAAGTGGTATGTGTGTGTATATATATGTATTTATTTGCATATATTACTGTAAAACTTTAAAGAGAGCATGAGAAATTGAATTCTTCCATTTATCTCTGATGATATGTGTGTATATGTAACCCATTTGCAATTCAGTCAAGAGTAAAGTAAGCCAGTGATTTTAGAAACTGCAGTGTTATATTTTTAAATCCTTAAAAATATAAGTCTGACACAATTTCAAGTAAAAATTTGTGTGTGTATTAGCAATAAAACATTTAATTTTTTTCTGGCTAATTATCTGACCTGCAAACAGGTGAGTTAGGAAAACTAGCCAATGTGAGTAGTGATATTTATTTTCTTAATACAAGTTATGAATACTAGTGCACTCATAGCTGTATCTTCAGTTTAGTTATTGATTGCCAAATATCTATATTCAATAAGATGCTGCTGACTGAATATAGTTACATGTTCATTATATTTTGCTACTTCTTAAATTTTATTTTGAAACCAGAGTGATTTTTCATATAGTATTTTTAGTTAATACCAGAATTGGGAGAAACTTGTTTCTATATAATGTCTAATTTTAGCTGTTTAATTTTAGCCAGTCTAAAGGTGTAAAGTAAGTTCTCATTGTTGGTTTAATTTGCATTTCTGTGATTATTAATGAGTTTGAGCATCTCTTCCTATGTTTATTATATATTTAGGTTTTCTTTTCTACAGATGACTTCTTTATATTCTGTGGTTTTCTTTTGGTATTCTGGTTTCCTTTTTAAATTACAGATATTTTTATATATTAGAGATATTGACCTCTGGTTTTGGACTTTGCAAATAATTTATCTCAGTCTTTTATCAGTTACCTTCATCCATGATATCATTTACAGAGCAGAAATCCTTGATTTCGATGTGATCAGCTTAAAGAGTTTTTGCCTTACGGTTCATAAAGATTTTATTAAAGAAGTTATCCTCCATACCAGTGCCAAAAGATATTCTGATATATTTTCTTCCATTAATTTTACAGTTTTTCCTTTTGTATTAAGGTCTTTAATTCGCCTGTAGCAGGAATTGGCAAACATTTTTGTAAAGGGCCAAGTAATAAATATTTTAGATTTCTCAGGCTACTGGTCTCTGTCACATTATTGAGTTCTGCCAAGGTAGTGCAAAAGCAGCCATAGACATACGTAGATGAATGCACATGGCCTGTTTCAGTAATGCACATGGCCTGTTTCAGTAAAACTTTATTTCCATTTACAAAAAAGGCATCGGGCATTCAGGCCATAATTTATCCTCCATATAGAGTCTACCTTTGTTTTAGGTATTAGATAGGATTCTATGTGGTTTTTTCCCCCACTGCCATATAGTAAATCAGTTTTTATCATACCATACACTTAAAAAAATCATCATTTCCTTACTGATTTGTAGTGCTACCTTTATTGTATATTACATTCTCAAACTACAGGGATCTGTCTCTGAACTCTATTCTGATTCATTGGGTTTTTTTTTTTTGTCTATTCTTATAGAAGGGTCACTTTTTTTTATCCCAGTAGTTTTGTGGTATATCTTAATATCTGTCAGGAATAGGTCCCTCTTGTTGCTTTCCTTTCTCAAAGTTTATAGCTATTGATGGAGCTTTATTCTTTCATATAAATTTTAGACTGTGTCTATGGATCACTCAAAAAGTATGATAATGATTTTTATTAGGATTTAACTGAATATAGAGGATAATTTGGGAAGAATTGGCATATTATATCACCCAGGAACATGTAGTGTATCTCCATTTATTGAGATCATCTTTTATGTCTCTTATTAGAGTTTAAAAATGCTTTTCTCAATAGGAAGTTTGTATGTTTTTTATTAAGTTAATTCCTAAACACCTGTTACGGCTATTGTGCATGGATATCTTTTGATTACATTGTTTAGTTTTATTGGTGTGGAGAAATACTATTAAGCTTTGTAAGTCAGGTTTATGAAAGATTAACAAAAAACTGGTTCTTTGGAGAGATAAGATGAATAGACTGCTGGCAAACTAAGAAAAAAGGATTAAGGCAGAAGAGTAAAATACAGAGCATAATAGAAGAAATAACTAAATCTCAGTAATGAAGATAGAGAATTATAATAATAAAATAGTTTTATGAACAGCTGTACCTAAATATAAAATGTCAAAATTGACATAAGTGGAAATAGAGAAAATGTGAATAGGAAAATAATTATTTTTGCCAATTGCAATATTACAGACCCTTCTTCCAAAAAAACTCCAGGCCCAAAGGGGTTTACAGGAGAATTCTACCAAACTTTCAAGAACAACTAGTTCATATTTGATCCAAGTTACTGCAGAAAATAGAATAAAAGCTGTGCACAGCTTATTTGCAGAGGTCAGTGGAATCTTGTTGCTGAACAAGATGAGGACTACACCAGAACCTTAGGAACTGCTGTTCTTGGGATGCAAAAGATAATTCAATGTCAGAAATGAGTGCAGCTGTATTTCAAGAAAACATTATTGATGAATACTACAATCAGAATTTCATATAATTTTCATGTATCATATAATGTTATTCTCTGGATTTTAGAAAATCACTTTAAAAATGTGAAAACTATTCTTAGCCTACATGCTGTACAAAATAGGTGGGTGGGCCAGATTTGTGGATTGTAGTTTGCCAACCTCGATCTAACTGTGCAAACGGATAGAATGAACATATTATTAAAACTAATTATTCCCTTATCCTTGTTCTATTTTTTTTCTGTTTTTCTACCCATAGCTCTTTATGTCTCTTCACACTTAACCTTTATGATATGCTTGCTTTTTTTTTTCTTTTTCCATTTTAGAGATAGGGTCTGGCTCTGCTGCCCAGGCTGGAGTGCGGTGGCACACTCATACCTCACTGTACCCTTGAACTTCGGAGCTCCAGTGATCCTCCCAACTCAGCCTCCTGAGTCGCTAGGACTACAGGCTATCATTTGCTTTCTGTCAGGAAATACGCAGGGCAGATCACATCACTTTTTATTGGAATGCCCATTTGCAGGCACTTTTATATTGTGTATCAGTGTTTTCTGTCTACTGTTGACTCTTCTATTCCTCTTCATCCTTGTAGTTTTGTATCTTTTACTCACCTTCAAGTCATCTTGGCAGTATTGCTTTCTCCACTTCATTTGGGATCTTCCCTTATGTCTAATTGATTGTGTTGGCCACTGTTCATAGTGGCAGATCCACATGTATTATTTATTTCAAGCACCCTATCCCACTTCTTTAAATGCCTGCATATATTATAGCCTCATATCACCATGAAAATAAAGATCTTAATGTATTCTTTCAGCTAGCTGTTCAGCAAGACACCCTAAGGAGAGTGAAAACTAAAGAACAAACTGGATACTTGTTAAAACAATATATAACTTCATATAATTGTCAAAAGATTAATATCTAGACTATATATTTTTTAAAAACCCTGTGACTTAAGTAAAAAGACAACCCAGTAGAAAAATGAATAAAGGACTTAAGCATTTCCTAGAAGTAGAAATCCTAATGGTTAATTATATGTGAAGAGAAACTTAATCACATTAATTGCCAAGGATTTATAAATTAATCAGATAGATAATATGTCTTACTCACTAGATTGGCAAAAAAAAAAAAAAAAATGGATATCACCTGCCTCTGAGGATATGGAGTAACTGAAATATACATTGGTACAACTAATTTGGAAAAATAATTTGGCACTATCTAGTCAAGTGGAAAAGGCCCATACCACAGGGCTGAGCAATTCCGGTTTTACCCGTGGATCATGGAGAAACTCTTAATTGCATGTGTGTGCTAGGGGTCGTGGACAAGAACAGGAGCAGCGTTTGTGATTGTAAGGGACTGAAAACAAAGTAATGTTGTTGGCCACAGAATGGATAAATAAATTGTGGTATATTCATACTTGGAATTCTGTATGGCAGTGAAAATGAATAAGTTATAGCTGCATACAAGGAATATAGTTATTTCTTATTATATTCCATGATATATTTGTGCCCTGCTTTTTTAAATCAAGAATTTATTTAACTTTTTCATTATATACCAATATTTTTGTTTGAAAAATAGGATTGAAAGATATCCTGGCATTTAAAATGAAATATCTTTCATATCCTGACATTTAAGATGAAAGTTTCTTGGAATTTTAGGGACATTTCAGGCAAGTTAGGTATAGAAGTTAAGTTAGATTTAAAAAATTTTATTACGTGAGTAATATATGATTATATTCATTATATAAAACTGAAAACATTGTAGATAAAGCAAAGTCCCTTTTGACCAACACTCTCAAACTAGTGCTTTTCTCACAAGCAAGCCCTATTTTCAGTTTGGTATATATCCACCAGATATTTGTTGATGCATTACATTCACTCATACATATTTACATACATACATGCATACATACACACATACATATGTATGTATGTACTAGTAGAGAATACGTATTGTTTTATGTTTTATTTTCTTTGTTACATAGATGATATGTCTAAGTTATTTTTATTTCAGTTCATACAGATCTATATTTTCCTTTTGAAATTGGATGGGTTCATGGTGTGGACTTCATATAGTTTATCTCCAACTGATGGACATTTGTTTTTGTTTGGTTACAAAAGTGCTGTATTGATTATGTGTTTATGCATGCGTATGTGTGTGTTTATCTTCTAAATACTAATCATCAGTTTGTTTTGCATATAGCAAATACTTTCCAGTCTGTTCCTTGATGTGAAACCTGTATGGGTTTTACTATTTTTTTGTGGTCTTAAGAAGATCTCTTTTCCTAGGATCATAAATATAATTATCTTACATTTTAAAGTTTAGATATGTACTTTTGTTTTTAACATTTAGTTATTTAATCCATCTGAAATTTATTTCGGGAATGGTGTGAAGCAGGGACCTAAATTTATTTTTCTGAAATGGCTACCAGTCGTTCCAACACCATTTATTGAATGCTGAATCACTGATTGGAATTATCTTTATCCTTTACTACTATGACAACTGCTAGCCAAAATTTGTTGAGTACATACTAGGATCATCCACTATTTTAAGCACTTGACAAGTGTCATCTCTTAATCTTCATGCCCACCCATTTTACAGTTGAGGAAGCAAGGCATGGGAGGCTAAGTGATTGCCCAGTGTAACACAGTTGCTAAGTAGTGGAGCTTGGATTTTAATCCAGGAGTCTAGCTCCAGAACCCATGCTCCTCACCTTATGTAAGCATGTAACGTTTGAATTGATACATTTGTTTTCCATTTCGTGGCAGCCTGAGCTAGTAATTGCTTTGATTTTCCCCTTCTTGTGTATCCTGATTGAAAACAGTATCAGAGGGATGGAGGCCAAATGGTGGTTTTTAAAATGGAAGATAGTCACATAAATCTAGGATGCATCCAAAGAGAAAGAGTATTACTCTAATTTATTTTAACATAATTTCTGATAACAAAGTTGTAGGATACTTAATATTTTTAAAGAATGTCATCCAGTTCTACAATTTGGATATGTGACCAATTATACAAGTGATTTTATTGTTTGATTAAGTAAATGTTGGTGCTACTAGGAGTTTTGAGATGCTTATTAGCTACTTTATCATTTTCTGAATTCTTTGTTCTCATTTTCACTTAGTATAAATATGAAGTGATAGAATGATTTTGGGATTTATAGCCATACTAACCTGGATTGAAAAATCCCAGCTCTTGTACTTGCTGTATTTCCTGGGGCTAGTAACTGAACCTCTCTGAACCTCTGTTTCTTTCATCTTTAAATTAGATTATAATACTGAGGGGGTGGTATGATATTTAAATATGAAAATATTTTTAAAGTTCCTAGCAAAATACATAGTATATGGTAAGTACACTATTTTAATTTCCTTTTATTTTAAAACATGTATATGAAAGTCCTTGACTTAGGTTAATAATTTTTTTTTCCTGTTTACATCTCTTACAAAGCAATACAATAACTTTTATTTGGAAGATTTTGGGTGAAGTACAAAGAATTAATCTTTAGCTAATTTTTTTCTAAGTTGACAAGTAAAAATTATATTCGAATTTTCATGACTAGGTTTCAGTCTTAATTGTAATTGTCAATTCAGTATCTTCAGATAACTTCTTTTCTTTTTCTTATGTTCTTTTATCTAACCATTTTAGGATATATAGACAGTTTTGCTAGAAAAATAGTTTTCAGGCCATCTGCATCTGTGAGATGGCGTATTATAATTTAAATGGTTCCTCCTTTTTGGTTCCTAAATGTGCTTTTAAAGTTAGCCACTTAGATACCACATCATTGTGGATGGTCTGTGAAGATCAGATGTTGAATCAGATGGGCACTGAGGTTCCTCATATGCTGAGATTCTCCCGTTCTTGGAAGTGTACGTTACCTAAGGAACCTCACTAGAATAGATGTCAAGTTCATTTTCTATTCTTATTAGACATCAAGATACTAGTCTCCAGATAACTTAGAGTTGGATGGTTTATTTAAAAAGCAATGAACTATTTTATATGGTAGATTGTGAGAATTGTGAGATGGATTAGTCAGGTATTATATTTTACATGACATTTAAGAATTCATATTATTCAAAAAAGATACCTTTAATATTAAAATATTAATTTAGAAATTACATTAAATTATGTTATTTTTCTGCATTATCATTTGTAAGTATCAGTATGTTATGTTGTATGTTTACAAAAATGCTACAGAGGTATAGCTAATTGAATGCCCAGGTGAGAGGTTGCAATAATGAATTATTTTTATGAATGTATTTATTATCAAGTATGGAGCATATACCATAAATACATATCTTTTGGTTCAATAGAAAAGTCTGTTTTTCAAATAAGTGGCTAAGTGTATTATGGTAAGGTGTAACTTTCACCAGTCACAGGGAAAGTTTCTCATAGAAAGTGGATAAAATGAAAAAATACGATGACTTAAGTTTTGATGAAATGAAAAGAGCTCTTAAGGTGCAGCATGCAGTGTGTTATAAAACGAGTGACTGTCCCTTCATTTTTCTCCCGTTTCTCTTTAGGTGCAGCAGTAGCGGGCATTTACAGAGTAGCTGGGAAGAACATGGCCCCTTTGGAAGCGCTGGTATGGGGCGTTGGACAGACTGTACTGACATTAATCATCTCCTTTTCAAGGATCCTCGCTACACTTTGAGGTTTCTGTGGGAATGTCTTACTTCACATAAGGAAACAGATGTATAGATTCCCTGAAAACGGCGTTAACAAGTGGAAGTGAAATTGTGCAAGAATGTGGACTGAGCAGGTCAAAGCATAAGGAAGACCTTGAGCTGTGTGGAAAGATTGCCCTCTGGTGTTCAAGTGATTGCACTACCGCACTGCACCTTATGTGCCTCTGTCTCAGGCAAGGTGCATTAAGACACTATGTAAAGTTACAAGAAAAAGCACCTTGTTTAGCTGCCTATCAGGTTAACATTGGTGTTGAAATCATCGTTCCTAACAGTGTTGTGTTAAGTTACAGGGACGTTTCGAGGTATTGATATATGTGCCAAACTCTTTTCTTTTTGTTAACATTGATCATGTGACAATTTGCAAGCGTAGATGTAGCTGAGTGCTGTGAACATATTTGACATGAATTCAGGTAATGTACTAAGATTTTTGTTCCGTAACACTAAATCCCGTATGAGTGCTAAATACTGAATTCTTTAATATGACAGAAGTTATTTGGTTTTTAATGTTGCGCGTTTCTGGGATTTAGGGCTTCAATATGTTTAGGTATTATTGTTATTTAATTGATGTGGAAGATAAGTCTTCTTAACTGAAGACTAGCTCAACCGTTTTAAGAACTCAGAGTAGCTCTATAGGGTGCATACTTTCACTAACTTAACACCCTTTTAATAGCTTCCCTCACGCATACATATTCTGTTTATACAAATTCAGAAACTTGAAGGGTCATACACATTGATTGTAGTTTGTGTGTCATAAAAATGTAATTTGAAAATTTTCTTAAAAATTTTGTAAGAAAAAAGTCTGAAATGCATGTTGCATTCTTTGACCCTTCTAAAGAAAGTTTTTGCCTTGTATCTCACGGACAAAACATCTTTATAACTAGTATCTCAGTGGGATTATATTACGTGTTGCATATATCTTGATTTTTGACAAAACATAAACAGTCTTTCATTCTGGAGTATTAACTGTTTTTAGAGAGTGGCCTAAATTAGGCTCTGGAAATAAAGACCTCATTTGTAGATATAAGTAACAAGTAAGTTATACAGGAAGAGTAATAAACTTTTACTTTGGACATGTGGCAACATCATAATTTTGCTAAGTGAAAACTGGGAAATATAGTAGGTAATTTTAAAATTTGGCAGTTAGTCTCAGCATATCAATACAGTACTGAACGTGTATTTGAGTAATTCAGTTATTCAGTTCTTGATTTATGATAGGAAGTTATGATTTAAGTTTACTAGAAGAATCTGTGAGGGTGTATGTTAAAAGTGGAAATGCCCTTTATATAAAACATTTTAAGAGGTTCTGGCAATACGTAATTGTAACAGTATAGGAAGTAGGGTTGAACTGGTCTCCTAATGAGATTTTTTTTGGCACCAGATACAGTTATAATGTGCTAACTCAAAGGAGACATTGCAGAGAATGTTAAAGTTAAGGATAATCAAAAAATAACCTGGTAGCCTTGCTGTTTAATCCAATTTGCTGTAAAGGTAGGCCTTGGTTATATTCCATTCAAATTTAAGAACTTTGTTACCCGTACCACTTTTTCTCTAGCCAGACGCAGAATATATCCACAACTTATCAATGAGAAGTTGGAGAGGCAGTACTTTTCCCAGTACGGAAGCCAATTTAGGGGATTTACTAACACTGGCTTGGAAATTCGTTTAAAAAAAATAATAAGCAACTATGCATGGATCTTTGAAGTAAATCTTAAAATTGATTATTTTTATTATGTACAGGCCTGAAATTGTTTTCATGTGTTCTTTATATTCCTGTTGTTTTTACAAATTAAATATAGGCATAACTTTTCCAAGTCGATCTGATTTTTTCTTTTCTGCCAGACTTGAATTGTGTTCTTCCTTTACTTTGGCTATTCTGTGAATAATTTAAAGCATTCATATTCTTCTAGAGGAATTACCAATAGCATGTGGAAATTGTTTCAGATCTACAGAAGGAATACTTACTTTAACATATGGTTATTTTATGATTTAAGAAAGTTATCATGGTAAAGTAATATGGAGCACGATTCATAATCCAAAATTAACGAGAAAATAACTTGGATACATTAAATGTACTAATGTGTGGACCAAAGAGATTTAAACTCTTGTTTTTACTCTAGAATGAAAGTATAATTGAATGGTTAATGGTTTGTAGAGTGTCCTGCAGTTATCTCATTATCAAGTTGCTTTACATTATGAATTGTGTGTGTATGTATATACTTTCAATTTTAGGGGTTATTTTTGTTTCCTTTGCTGTTTTCAGTTATTCCCATGGAGATTTTGTGCAACTGTCACTCTTTTGATGTTTTGAGATGCAGTTGAATAGTGTGAGTTTATGAATTGTCTTAATAGCTATTTATATGCTGAGATTTTTTAAAAGTTAGTAGCTTTCCTATAGACACAAGAAATGTTTAATGATATATATACACACACATATATATCATTATATACATATATAGAGAGCTGCTATATATGAATACAGTCTACTTGGAAAGCTTTTTTTCAATGAACACTTTCATGTTCTAGTGGAAAATTTGTTCAGTGTAATGATCTTTTAAATAGGTTTGAGGATGTTTGAGAATTTTGAATTTTGGGAAAATTTTCTTCATTTAATAGAGCTGGAGACCCTTGTTTGGGACATGACAAAAGCCCTTATTGATGTATTTGGGTTATATACTTTGTTAAAATTTATATATGATTTAGCAGTACATTTTCTTCGTGACAAATGCAGGAAGGGAGGGAGGATCCTCTATAGTGGACACTCCTTTATTTAAAAAGTGTTTAATAAAATATTGTTTACAGAAAATATTGTTTCTCCCCAAAGAAAGAACTCCTACATGTCCAAACTAATTATTGTTTAACATACTGATTAAAAATGCCCATAGTTGACAGCTAGTCAGGAGGCCCCAAATAAACCACAAATAATGCTTAAAACTTTAAAAGAAGGAGAACTAGTAGTCTTCCCCATGAGACAGTTCCAAGGTAATACCCTACCTTGCTTAGGATAAACAAAGTCCTAAATGATGGCTCTCTTCAGGGCCTGTAGCTGAATTATTCTTTAGATCTTAATGTTTACCAAACAGTGTTACAGTTTGTTACCCAATATACTTTCTTAGTATTTGCAGCATACATTTCACTGCTCGAAAAAGTATAAGGGTTGGGTTTTGTTTGTACTTTAAATGAGAGAAATAAAGAAATGAGTTGGCCTCTATATCTTGTATTTGTGATATAAGGAACGGGATAATTTGAAATCACAGAATGTTGTGGAAAAGGTCTTTAAAAAACCTCTAATGAAGAAAGTGCAGCTGCCACATTGATGTACCTAGGCTGCCACTCATACACCAAATAATTCTCTTTTGTAAACACTTTTTGTGGATCCACTATGTAAAGTGCTCTACCAAGTGTTTTCTCTAGTAAGGAGTACAAGAATTACCAAGGTGGAATTCTTTACCTTGAGTCCACCAAGAGCTAGCAAGATGATTTTAAATCCTAAAAAGTGTGGGACAACATTTTGCTTCCTGATTTTAGTTGAGAGTTAGCCGGTTTTGTCTCTCCAAATTCTCATTTTCCTGGTTCATCCACTAAATAGAATTTCCATAACTGAGATATCACGGCTGTGACATAGTGAAGAGAATACTAGACTCCAAGCCAGCAACACAGATTGAATTAAGACTCCGTCACTTGTCAACTTTTTGACCTTGAGTGAATCACTTAACCTCTCTGAGCCTCAGTTCATACTCTGTAAAATGTGACTAATACCTCATGTAGTTATTGTGAGGGTTATGTGAGATTGTTTATGAATGGCAAAGCAGTATGTATTTGACAGTAAATGATCAATTGATAGTCTCTAGAATTTTTTTAAAATTATATTTTGCAATTGCATTACCAATTGAATATGTTGTTTTGTAAAATTCATCAATTTTCTTTCATTTCTCTATTTTCCCTACATATACTTTAGGAAAGAAACTAAAAACGTTCTCTTATAATCTTGCTTCATCTCCTTTTCACCTTTTCTTTTTAAACTCAGCAGATCTTTAAGAACCTTTTGTGAATTGGTGGTGGCAGAAATGGCCAGTGCAAGGAGGATTAAATTAGGAGTTCTGTTGACCACTGCTTAAAATAGGACAAAGGTAGAGAGGTAGCCAGCCTTGACTCCTTTACCTAATCCCACTCACTTCCCTTGGATTCATTCAGCCATGTTGATTCATTGACTTTCTGCTATTAGCTAATTATTCTTCTTGAAAAGTAAGAGCGATATATAACCCTTCTGTCTTCTATATGTCTTTTTCTTCTGCTGGCCCTGGGCCTTTGGCTCTACAGTGTAGTTCTAATTCTGTAGAAAAATAGAATGATATTCAGTGTCTACCAAGTCCTTTCTTCCACTGGCCAAGGGTGCTTAAGCCCTAGCTGTTTTTTTGTTTCTTTTTTTTTTTTTTTTTGAGATGGAGTCTCGCGCTGTCGCCCAGGCTGGAGTGCGGTGGCGCGATCTCGGCTCATTGCAAGCTCCGCCTCTAGGGTTCACGCCATTCTCCTGCCTCAGCCTCCCAAGTAGCTGGGACTACAGGCACGCACCACCATGCCTGACTAATTTTGTATTTTTAATAGAGACAGGGTTTCTCTATGTTAGTCAGGCTGGTCTCAAACTCCCGACCTCAAGGAATCCGCCCACCTCGGCTTCCCAAAGTGCTGGGATTACAGGCGTGAGCCACCGCACCCAGCCCCCTTTTTTTTTTTTAACTTTAAGTACAATTATATTAAATTTATGTTCATTATATAATTCAAGGAGTAACAAAATGCCTGGAGCAATTTCTGAAATATTCTCAAACCACTTCACTCTTGACACTACAGATTTTTCTCTCAGTCTCAATCAGAATCTCTGCAGTCATTATTTGTTTTTAAGATGTGAAGGACGAGGAAAATTACTGAAGAAATTCTAGCAGATTTCCATTGCAGAGAGATTTGGTAACACTTTTTGGGTAACTGGGTAAATTACTATTTCTTTTAATAATCAGGGGTGAAACTCTTAATTGTTAAAATGGACCAATAATCAAATGGTTTTATAATCTTTCTTAACTTCCCGTCCTTGTTATAACATCTTGGAAGAAGACTCTTCAGGATAAAATGGATATTATTTGATTAAAAATTATAGCATTTAGAGA